TTTGTTGACCTTTGTCCATGGAAGGTCCCTGCAAAATTTCATTGAAACCGTATCTGGGTCTTCAAAGAAGAAGATTTTTGAAATTTTAGTCAATTTGACCCTTTTTGGCCCCGCCCCTCAGGCCCCTGGGGGCTTGGGACTAAACCGGCCACTGTTTTTGTTGACCTTTGTCCATGGAAGGTCCCTGCAAAATTTCATTGAAATTGGTTCAGGGGTTTTGGAGAAGAAGTTGAAAATGTAAATTGTTTACAGATGCACGACGGACGACGACGGACAAAAGGCGATCGCAATAGGTCACTTGAGACTTTGTCTCAGCTGACCTTAAAAACATTACTTGATCACACTCCATCTTAGACTTTAGGAATTGGCCAACCTGACACCAAATTAACCTCACTTTTTGTATCTGACTGTCCCAGTTGCCGTGTCCATTCTGAAGCTCCTTGACTTCCTGTTCGTTGTCCCTCACTCTCACTATCTCACCTTTCTTCAGCTGCTTCACCTTCAGATACATATAATAATTCTCTATTAGTGATGACATGGTAAACGGAAAGTTCACAGATATTTATTAATTTGATTTATTTCTTTTTTTCAACGTATTTGCAATATAAGCTTCAAAAATTAAGGAAACTTAAAGAAACAACATATTATTACAGGTTGACCTGTACACTGACCTTGTCCAGAGCCATCTCCTTAAACGTCCAGCTGCCGATGTCAAACTTGACTGTCACATCCTCTCCTGACTGGACCACCACTTCACCAATCTTACCAATACACTGAAACATTGTCATAGTAACAGGACTTTATATAACATTGTCATGGTAAAAGGACTTTATATTGTCATAGAAACAGGCCTTTATATAACATTGTCATGGTAACAGGACTTTATATTGTCATAGTAACAGGAATTTATATAACATTGTCATAGTAACAGGACTTTATATAACATTGTCCTGGTAACAGAACTTTATATTGTCAAAGTAACAGGACTTTATATAACATTGCCATAGTAACAGGAATTTATATAACATTGTCATGGTAACAGGACTTAATGTAACCTTGTCATAGCAACAGGACTTTATATTGTCATAGTAACAGGACTTTATATAACATTGTCATAGTAACAGGACTTTATATTGTCATAGTAACAGGTCTTTATATAACATTGTCATAGTAACAGGACTTTATATAACATTGTCATGGTAACAGGACTCTATGTAACATTGTCATAGCAACAGGACTTTATATAACATTGTCATAGTAACAGGACTTTATATTCCCATGGTAACAGGACTCTATGTAACATTGTCATAGTAACAGGACTTTATATTGTCATGGTAACAGGACTTTAATATGTAACATTGTCATAGTAACAAGACTTTATATTGTCATAGTAACAGGACTCTATGTAACATTGTCATAGTAACAAGACTTTATATAACATTGTCATAGTAACAAAACTTTATAGTGTCATAGAAACAGGACTTTATGTAACATTGTCATAGTAACAGGACTTTATATTGTCATGGTAACAGGACTCTATGTAACATTATCATAGTAACAGGACTTTATATTGTCAAGGTAACAGGACTCTATGTAACATTATCATAGCGACAGGACTTTATATTGTCATAGTAACAGGACTCTATGTTACATTGTCACAGTAACAGGACTTTATATTGTCATAGTAACAGGACTCAACATGTCATTATGAAATTGTTCTCGTTACAAAACTAATTTGTGTTTCAACTTTCAATGTGACGTTTTGGTGACAAGTACGGTATGTGCTCTGTCACCTTCATCAGACAAATGACCAGTTAAGCGTATGCACACAAAGATGTTAAATGTGTACGAGTTGTCCACAAATCAATGTCAATTCGGATATGCTGTAGCGTATGTAAAATAGTTGTTATATACGTACCGAAACGACTCGATTCAGCTACGTTTTGTTTAATAAATTTGGTCATAGATGTGCGAGAGTCTTTGAGCCCCTTCATCTTGATTTAGAACTGGCCCACGTCACTGCAGCGTATTCATATGGCTTCTTTTATCTGCGGCTTGAACGGATTGCTCTCTGTCCAAAACTTTGGACCAGTCAATCACATGATTTTTTTGTGTGGCGTGGTCTTTAATTGCCGATTTATTTATCTGGGACTCAGACTGCTTCCTTTTTAATCTGGTGAATTTCCTTCCTTCTTGTGTTTCCGTATCTTTCCGGTGTTTACCAAGGCGGACCCCGAATTGCCTTCCAGTCTTTCAAATATACGATGCGTCACAGTTTTTGCATCCAATTTTGTATACGCATTCTGCGACAACTTCTGCAGGTGTTTTATCCTTCGGGTGTACTAGGATATTACGAAGAATCTTGTGGGGCTTCATGGCTGTTACAATGCTATGACCACGATATATCCTCTGGATGGTTTGGGATATACCTTTTATGTACCTTTGTGTACATACGCTTCACTGGTCATTTGTCTGATGAAGGCGACAGAATAAAAACCGTACTTGTCATCGAAATGTCACATTGAATTACTAATTGGTTGTGTAACGAAAAAAAAAAATCATAATTAATACTTACCAACCCGAAGAAAATGTTTAGAAATATCAACATGTCATTGTCATAGTAACTCAAAGGCAGCCATTCTATCAAATTTCAAAATCTTAATTAGAAAGATAATCTAGATGGAGTCTGTAAATGTATGCCATATTACGAACTGCATGGGCCTTTGTACTCGACATCATTATCCTTTTTCCTGGTAAGTTTGAATGATGTAGCTGAAAATGGCCACAAGCTACACATCCCTACACAGCAAATGACACTGTTATACTATTGGACAAGCTATATATCATGGTAATGTAATTGTGCTAGCCTGGTCGTCATGCTATTTAATTTTGTACACCTCTGAATGCTGATATTGTGTCTTACAGAGTACTGATTGACTTATCCATAAAACTTTATAAAATTGGTGTTTGATAGAATTGAGTTATTGAGACCAATTGTTGATAGAAAATAAGTTTAGAAAAACATCAACTAATCAACTTAATTGTTATTTAAGTACATGATATTAAGTGTGGTCATAGATCAAAACAGTGGTATATATCCAAGATGGCAGACATTTGTGAACAGGGGGGTTGCTAGCAATTAAGCACCCTCCCTACTTTTGGTCTATGTTTTTTCACTAGGGGTGGGGGCTTATTTTGCGGTCAAATACGGTAGTGGCAGCATTGCTTTACACGCATGAGTAATAGAAAATAAGGGATCCAGTACAACCTAGCTTCTCCCCACCCCCATCCCACAAATAACACGGTTAAAGTGGAAAAATTGTTATACACACATATGTAATGGGCAAATGGTAATTCCAGTATAACACTGCACTCAAAAGTGAAGTACATATTTTCTACAGTATTTAAAATTATCATTTAACCCTTTCACCCCCATGTAACTTTAGTAGACTCTGCCATGCATTGATATGGACAAGTCCATTGTGGTCTACAGCAACGGAAGGGTTAAGAACAATGCTCCCTTGAAACAGACACAGAGTTCAGCAAAACAACTTACATCAATCATGGAATCATTCCACATGCCTTGTGCTGACTTGTGGATGGCCTGTAAAACCTCAGGATCCACACCGATCCTCACAGCATCCCCAGCTATCAGCCGTTCAGACCCCGCCTCACTGACACTCGCTGTGGGTGCAGCAGGTGTGGTATTCAGATTGATCTCTATGGAAACAAGATCGTCACACAATCAGCTCTCTCGTATCATCTACTCTTTGGCTTGGCCATTAAAGTAAAAAACAACGAACTTACAGTGTAGTTAACATTGTGATAATAAGCATGAAAATAATAGTCACAAGTAGGACGAACTTGTCCCTACCATACTTTTTAAGATAATGACGAACCATCAACATAATTGTTATACAAATCATGAATCAGACCGCACAAAGATGAATTTATTTCCTGTGATAAGTTTGCTAATAATAATGCAAAATATTACAGTTATGTTACTGCTCTAAACTTCTTTTTCATAGTGCTTCTATTTTTTTTAAATAATTGAACAATTTTGAACATCAGTTCCAGTGCTTGTAAAACTTACCACTTGTAAAATGTGTTCTTCAAACTTAAGGTATTTATTAACTCATTCACCTCTAAATATTTAAAATGGACTTGCCCAGTTTATGATTTGGAGAGGTTCAGATGTGACTTTAGGGGTGAAAGGGTTAACACTTCTATTTAACTTATTTACCCCTGAAGAGGCATTTGAATTCTTCCAAATCAAAGGTTGGAATAGTTCATTATGAAAATGCAGGGGTGAATCAGAGTAAACCAGCATCTCTGCAATTTAATGGGACGTCTGGAAGTTCAATAAACAAGGGCAACTGTGGTGGTAATTCAAGTAAATATCAGGTCTACGTAATGTCGTAAAGATAAAACAATTTGTCGTACTTACTGAGGTCAGGGAGCTGGTCCCTGTAGTATGTGCCACCGGGGACAACTTTGATACATTTTAAGTCCAGCTTCCCATCGTAACCATGACGATAAACATTGCTCGGACCAATGTCCCAGGTAACCTCAACAGCATCTCGATCAGTATCCAGGCTGAAGTTGACCACTGCAATCACGATGCCATTCCCATCTGCCAACCAATAGCCAGATAGACATGTTATACAGGGTCTGAGCACTTCTTCTCAAACACTTCAAATTTATGATATGGTTAACGACCAGTTTCAGTCGACATTCATAGTCAATGTGACAAGTCAACCTGACAAAGTAAAAGTCTCTCAGCAACAGAGGATTTTTGGTAACTTTTTACTTTTAAACAGTATATTTATAAGTGTAAAGTGATGTGGTAACGGTCACCATTAAGAATAGACCACCCTTACAAACATGGTAATTTTTTCTTCAGTGTCAAGTGAACAGTTTTATCTTCTGTTCTATCAACTGAATAATTTCATGTTACACTTGTAATGATGTATACAAACCCGGGTACATCTGTTCTCAGGTCAACAATCACCAATATCCTGAACTGAGATTTACAGACCCTAATTACATGTGAGCTATGGCTTACAGACCCTAATTACATGTGTGCTATGGTTTACAGACCCTAATTACATGTGTGCTATGGCTTACATACCCTAATTACATGTGTGCTATGGTTTACATACCCTAATTACATATGTGCTATGGTTTACAGACCCTAATAACATGTGTGCTATGGTATACAGACCCTAATAACATATGTGCTATGGTTTACAGACCCTAATAACATGTGTGCTATTCTAATTACACCTGTATGATGTACACGTACTTCCGTCCTGATCCTCCCACATCCAGTCAGGTCCTCGAGACACTCTTGCTCCTTCAAACACTCCTTTAGCTGTGACTTTCTTGGACATCTCACGTTTGTTGGCGCGGACTCTGTAAGTGTAATTTGTTTTGTAATGTTAAATGATCAGGATGGACATCACCGAAAGGCACACTACCTACACATAGTTGACAAATACACTGAAATCACACTTCAGCAACAGGAATATACAAAATGTATCTGACAAATACACTGAAATCACACTTCAGCAAATCCAGTCACCAGTACTCTGATATAAAAAAAATCAGAAAAGGGGAATAACTCTTATAAAAAAAATTGTAATAAAAGAATAAATCTCGATTGTGCAATTACCTTAGGTACCGAACATGTGTCCAAAGTTTCATGAATAATAGTCAAGAGGATAAGATAAGTACTTTGGACAAATCTTATTAGTTATAACCTATTAATCAGAAACGCATAACACCCATAGATGGACCAAGAAAGTGAGTATGAGTACTTTAGTTAAACTTATATAAGAACATCAGAAAAGGAATATCATACCCATAGAAATCATCAAAAAAAATTGAAAGCCCATATCTTTCCATGGCTTTGATCATGTTTAAGAAGGTCCATAATTATCGCTAAAAAAAATAAGCAGTGAGTTCTTTTAAAACAATGTATAAATGCAAAAATTATCAAATTGTCATAACTCCTATGATAACTAACATAAATAAAATTACAAAAAATAAATGATCATTATACAAGAGTTTATGACTAATAGTCAAGAAGGTAAGTATCAAAATGCAGGGGTTCTATAAAAATCATTATAAAAAATCTTTATAGATAGGGTAAATAAATTGGAAAAGCTATGCTGTATTACCCTGCATCTCCTGGCTTGTTGATTCTCAGGAAGTGTAGCTTCACATCATTTTTGTCACCATGGTAACAAGTGTTACACAGGATGATGTCTGGGTTAGACTCACACCTCCAAATGAATCCCATCAAGTCAGACTCCTCACAAACACTGCATACAACAGAGGGATGACGGATACCTGGACACAATATTAATCTTACTATAGTATACAGTTGTGAATACAATGTTGACCTTACTTTAGTATACAGTTGTGAATACAACAATTATTTTACTATAGTATACAGCTGTGAACACAATGTCGACCTTACTATAGTATACAGTTGTGAATATTGTGAATACAACTATTATTTTACTATAGTATACAGCTGTGAACACAATGTCGACCTTACTATAGTATACAGTTGTGAATATTGTGAATACAACTATTATTTTACTATAGTATACAGCTGTGAACACAACGTTGACCTTACTATAGTATACAGTTGTGAACACAATATTGACCTTACTATAGTATACAGCTGTGAACACAATGTCGACCTTACTATAGTATACAGTTGTGAATAGTGTGAATACAACAATTATTTTACTATAGTATACAGCTGTGAACACAATGTTGACCTTACTATAGTATACAGCTGTGAATACAACAATTATTTTATTATAGTATACAGTTGTGAACACAATGTTGATCTTACTATAGTATACAGTTGTGAACACAATGTTGACCTTACTATAGTATACAGCTGTGAATACAACAATTATTTTACTTTAGTATACAGTTGTGAACACAATGTTGACCTTACTATAGTATACAGTTGCGAATACAATGTTGACCTTACTATAGTATACAGCTGTGAACACAATGTTGACCTTACTATAGTATACAGCTGTGAATACAATGTTTATCTTACTATATATACAGTTGTGAATACAATGTAAATCTTTCTTTATTATACAGTTGTGAATTAGAATACAATGTTGACCTTACTAAAGGATTCAGCTGTGAATACAATGTTGACCTTACTATAGTTTACAGCTGTGAATACAATGTTTATCTTACTATATATACAGTTGTGAATACAATGTAAATCTTACTATATTATACAGTTGTGCATTAGAACACAATGTTGACCTTACTAAAGGATTCAGCTGTGAATCCAATGTTGATCTTACTATAGTATACAGTTGTGAACACAATCTTGACCTTACTATAGTCTACAGCTGTGAATACAACAATTATTTTACTTTAGTATACAGTTGTGAACACAATGTTGAACTTACTATAGTATACAGTTGTGAATACAATGTCGACCTTACTATAGTATACAGCTGTGAATACAATGTAAATCTTACTATAGTATACAGCTGTGAATACAATGTTTATCTTACTATATATACAGTTGTGAATACAATGTAAATCTTACTATATTATACAGTTGTGCATTAGAATACAATGTTGACCTTACTAAAGGATTCAGCTGTGAATACAATGTTGATCTTACTATAGTATACAGTTGTGAATACAATGTAAATCTTACTATAGTATACAGCTGTGAATACAATGTTGATCTTACTATAGTATACAGCTGTGAATACAATGTAAATCTTACTATAGTATACAGTTGTGAATACAAGGTAAATCTTACTATATTATACAGTTGTGCATTAGAATACAATGTTGACCTTACGAAAGGTTTCAGCTGTGAATACAATGTAAATCGTACTATAGTATACAGCTGGGAATACAATGTTGACCTTACTAGAGTATTCAGCTGTGAATACAATGTAGATCTTACTATAGTATTCAGCTGTGAACACAATGTTGACCTTACTAAAGGTTTCAGCTGTGAATACAATGTTGACCTTACTATAGTATTCAGCTGTGAATACAATGTTAATCTAAATATATTATATACATATGAGAATACAATAAGTTTCAGCTCAATGGGCAAATGAGTTCTTTAAAAGACTATAGTATCCTGTTAGTTTATTTAATCAAACCAATCAGATTAAACAAAATGATGTATAGTAAGAAGTGGAAGGGCTGAAACAGCACCAGAATGTCTGTGATGGATTATATTTAGATTTATCTTCATTTAAAACTTACCTATAGTAGCAGTGTCAAAAATTCTTAGGTCAAATGAATCTTCAAAGCCAGCCCTGTAGGTGTTTCTGTATCCAGAGTCCCACTGTACAATAGCACACCTTTGTGGACAGCTACCGTCCTCCTGGGTCCCCACGTCAATTACTGTACCAACATTACCCTCGCCTCCATCCTGCTCTCCCCACTTCCAGTCCTTCCCCCTAACAACACGTACACCAGGGTCCATCATTTCTGTATTAAGGAAGAAAGAGAAAATTATTTCCTATTTCAGATACACAGTTCAATTAACTCACATCTCTAGCACACAGGCAGGCACACACACAAAGGGAGATATAAGCAAGGTGGCACAGAACTAGCAGTTATCGCCTGATTAGGCAGCTCCTGCAAATTCCTCAAAAATTATATTGCTTAACATATTGATTGTATAGATTATAATATTGTATATCTATGTAATGTAAAGCGCTTTAGAGTGGTTTATTCTAGCTAGATCATAGGGTGCTATATTAAGTGTTGTATGTTTATTTATTTATTTGCTTCAAACTCTTTGACGTTCTAAAAATAAAACTCTCTGCAATATTAGAGACTAGCTATATACATTGTAGGTGACGGTGTAGCATGTCAGATGATCCTGCAAATTTAATTACATGGAATGATAAGGAGTAAACAACAAATTTTAAGAAAAAAAAGTGATAAAGAATTTCGATATTTAATGGTAACTTCCTCAGCTATAAGTAAAAATAACTTTCTCAAAAAATTATTTAAAGAGAAACAAGATTAGTGAACTATTTTGATGTACAGCCCGAGTTTCCTCTGGCTCTGACACCAGACTTAGACATTTGGACAGATAGATGTCTGGTACGTGTAAAATATATTACCTGTAAGATTCTGTAACGAAATCCCAACCAAGGCGTAAGCCGAGGTTGGGATGTTACAGAATCTTAGCCCGAGACCGAGATACAATGTAACTCGATCTTGCTCAGTTACAGGTAATTGATTTTTTCTCTCACACCTTTTAGTTAAAAAAACCTTATTCAATTTTGCTAAAAGCTACAAGTATCCAGCCTTTGGCCTGACAAATGATAATGACCTCTTCACTACTTAGTACTTAAGCTACATTTGAATGCTTCCGCGTAAAAGTGTAGTCCGTCCTTACATAGATTGCAACGTATTTCAGTGTAGATTATATTTTATCTACAACATCAAATATCTAACAACATCAAAACTATACATATAACGACAAAACAGAACATTTATAATACAAATTGTCAATTTCAAGCAGTTAACGCGAGGATGAATACATCGCAGGTAAAAATTCTGCGAAATGTTACATAAAGGTACAAGACAGATCGGACGAGATAGAAAAATCTAGCATGGGGTATGACATAGGATATCTCTGTCTGAGGTGCAAGAAAAATGTGTAAGTCTTGTGTCAGGGCCAGAGGAAACTAAAAAGCAATTGCTGACAGAATATACAGGCCTATAGTACAGTGATTGTCATGACTTGTCATCATACTTGTATGGTGCACACATGTACAGGGACCCAAGATTAATTTAGAGAGAGTAATATTATAAGTTGTTTTCTGGGTTTAAGCAATCCTCAGTAAAAATGCCACCCCCAATGCGTAGCAAGTACACAAGAAGGAAAGGAAGCTCTAGATGTAAGAAAATTAACCCCACCAAACATCACATTTTAGTTGGTGCACAAAAAATGCTTGGTGCCATTGTAAAAATAGCTGTACCTTTAATTACAAGCCAGTAATTATAAGACCGCAGAGGTTTTTACTTCAGCGCTACGCCAACCTCATTAGTATTGGCAAAGTGGCTCTAGATCTATGATCATGATAATGTCCGACTTATGAGCTGGGAGAAGGTAATTCTAAAAGAAATATTATCCATCTTGCAATCAACTAGAAATGGGATTTTTGATGCAAGGGATTAGTGTCAGGTGGGTCAATTTTTTGACATCAAGAGCTTTGTTGTGTACGTCATTGGGGGACCCCGGCATAGCAGTACTGGAGTCTGAAATTCTGTCAATAATTAAAATAAAATGATAAAGCCCTCAAGAATGTTTTTATTAATTCTAAAAACATTTTATTGGTTATTGGTTTTTTTTTTCAAATAATTATTATTGTCAATTATTTACAGAATTTCAGACCTCCTGTCTGTAAAGTGACATGACTCAGCTGGTCCATGCAGGCATGCAGACATAAACATAATTTAAGCTTCCTCGTGTGAAACAATGACTATTTTGTAAAACTAATTAAAGCTTCCTCATGTGAAACATTGATGTGAAACAATGACTATTTTGTTTCATCTAAAACTATTTAAACTGACAGCAAAATGCCTGCAGTCTAATGACACTCTTTAACAATAATTTATATCAATTTTCACAAGTACTGTGCTACAAACGAAACTACTTGGTACTTTCAGTTCGCAATCACCATTATAAATTGACATTTCCTTTCTATTTTCAGAGTTGTAATTTGTTACGGCTTTAAATTAAAATCAATTGAAATGATTAAACTGTATCATGCATTCATCAACTGAACAACTATCTTATCTTTTTAACAACTCAATTCACTTTTAAAATGAATGAATTACCTGCAACTGACATTGTGCTTTCCAAAATGTTCCTGTGTCAGGAATTGTTACTAAAAATAGCTGTTTTAGGTTTTTCCGTGCACTTTGGAATACCTTTAGACTTTACCATCAAGATAATGAAGAGTCTAGAAAAGCTCCATAGGGAGCAATCCGTAGGTCCTTGTAAGGGGTGCCATGAAGGGAAACTATTTCTCTAAGGGGAAAAAAGTTCATTTTTGACATTATAAGCAGGAATTACGACACTTACAGTTTGATTACAAGGAAATATTATCTTGATTTATGACTAACTAAGTACAAATACATGTATACAACCCTAGCTCAAACCTTAGCTAGCCGTACGTGTAACTGATAAATATTGCAAATTAATTTAACATAATCCTTTCTCAGTTAAATTAATTTATATTTGTTCAGTGTTACATTGATATATATTAATGTTTCTGAATAAAATGCATATAAGCTGATGTAAGTAGATGCAATGTCCATAAGCCTTCTCCAGCGTCAAGTTGTTGTATATGACTGCATGCATGTGCTTCACAGAGTAAATTGAATTTATTCTGTATATATTTTTTAATATTGATGTAAATAAAGTGTTTATGTGATCATGAATTAATTATTCTGAGACTGCTACACATTATAATTGATGTACATCAGTGCATAATTCTGTAAATTAACAATATTTCTGTGTTAATTGCGAAAAATTTAACCTTTTCATTGTAAAAGTGAAATAATTAAGTTAACATTCTCATTTGTTAATGAAATTATTACAACATATGTACAATATACAATCTAATTACTTATCTAGGATGAAACAGAAGTATTTAATTAATAACTATGAAATTAGTTTTAAAATTATCAGGTCATTGCAAGTTTTGTTGGTTCAAAAACAAAAATTGTAACGTTCAAAAAATAACGAAGGACCCGACCAGATATATATAACTCTGTATCAAACAAATTAACAACAAAAACAGTATGAAAATGATATTGCTCCATCCTCAGGAAGTGTAGTAATATGTACATGTATGTAATGTCAACCGGAAATCAGGACATACAACATGAAAGATGGATCTGTATAAAATGAAGGTCAAAGTATTTTTTCACCAACTATAAATCTTTGAAGTTTACAAGGTCACATGTTCTTACCCTCATACTCTGTGTTGATAAGCCACTGTAGAAAGTCTACACCATCATCCTCATCATCATCCTCATCCTCATCCTCTAGGCTCTCTACAAATAAGTAGTGGGGAGAGTACAAATATAATAATATCTTCATTCATAAGGAGATTAAATTCTCTCACAGGTCAAAGGTTTTTTATTTTTTGGTATCTGTGACAATTTCTGCACAGATAAAGGTTTTCCATTTTTATTTTTTTGGGTAATTCAATGGCTGTACATTATAAATGATTAAGTCTTGTAGAATAAGCTCCATTTTGATTTATTGCTCTAATGGTTGTGTATCTTTTAAATTTATTTTAGCACTTTTCGCTCTTTAATTACTGCCCTAAATTATGAATGACAGAAGTTCTTTTATATAGTTCTCTGTTGTATTTTTTCGGGGAGCATCAATTCATGAATGAGCTAATCCATTAACAATTAATAATGCGCTAAAATTTAAGTGCACGGACTAAAATAAGTACGTTGACAGTATATTGCAAACCTGGTAGCTTTACTGATATATAGTATACAGTAAGGAAACTCAACCAAATTGTACTTCAACAAATATCAATGTTTGCTAATAGGATAAAAAGAGACAAATCAATGTTGTTGTAGATCAGATGCTATGACTGTCACCTGTAAATAAGTATTGAATGGCATTTTTTTCAATTTCATGCTTGTATGAACGCAAATTAGTCACATATACATTGTATATCCTGTGAAGCTCGCTAGGGCTTCATGGTTAATATGAATATAGACTGATTTGCATTCATACTGGCATGAACATTGAAAACGTTCCGTTCAATCCTTATATTTATATTCTATTTTTTTATTTATAATTGACCTAAATACGGAAATTTCCTTATATTTCTGATATTGAAGTGTTTATGTTGTCACTGCAAACCAGATTCCTGGAATAGCCTATAACGTTATCAAAATGTTTGCTTCTAGCGGTTGGCTCATGTTATTCAAGGCGGAAGGAAACACTTCGAAATTATGCTGATCCAATTGCAACCATAGCCCTATGAATGCAATTTCATATGGTAATGCTCATAGAGTCGAGGAACTTGCAGTGGAAATGTATAATTATTCTCAAATAAATATTAAGTTCAACACATTAGTAGTGAATTATTGAAATTATGAAAAACTGTGATCCTTACCTTTGTTGCTGTCTGTGTCTTGTTCCCGTTCACCAACCACAATGATGTGAGTTTTGTCTGTATCTGTTCTCTGGGTACTTTCTTCCTTCACCTCATTCAATATCTCTCCTCTTTCTTTTTCCTTTATTTCTTCTGTCTGTGTCTTTGTTTGCATGTTTGACATGTCTGCACTCTTTTCGTCTACTTTTCTAGTATGTTTTGGCTCCGCATCCGTGTCTGATGCCTTCTTAGGGAGCTGACTGGAGGTCATGACCTTGATACAACAGGAGGGGTTAAGGAGATGAATCCCTGAGGTGAAGGTCACCGTCAGATCCCCGGAACTGTCCACTCTTTCCACCTCACCAACCTTACCGATAATCTGTCGAAATGGAATGTACATTCTTCTAATACAGGGTAAAGTGTTGCCATACATTTTGTGCACAAATTATTCTTGTGAAATAGCAAGTCTGTGGTTTCTCTCCACCATGTCAATTTCTTCCATTGTATTTCTTGGGAAATAACCATACTCAAAGAGTAGGATAATTTTTAAAGATATACCAATATTTCTCTTATAAGGCCCCATCCTCTGCTTGCAATTGCCATACTATATTTTCACAACATTGAGTCCCCTTGATCTAAGGATGCTCCACATAAAATATGACCTAATTAACCCAAGAAATATGTAAAGCAAGAACTAGTTTTTGGTTACTTTTGGCAAATAATATCTACTTCAATCAGATACTTTCTCAGAGACATGAAAAAGTTGACAGACGAATGGGTGGTTGAGCTTTGGGAAAGGTGTGCTAAAACTGCTAGAATGTGAGTCGGTCAATAACCAGAGTATACTCAGTACACTGTATAGGCTAATGGTCAGTAAGATGTAAGCTCAAAGATCACATCCGGGTCAGAGAGTCTGTGGCAGTATACATACGTCCTTCATGGTCTCCCGCCAGCCACCATGTCTGTTCTGACGTTCCTGCACCATGGCCTGGTTCTCCAGGACTTTCACCTTGTCTCCCGCCTCAGCTATGGAAATCTGACAAGTACACAGGCCTTCAATTAATATCTTGCAAAAAACAGTAAGGTATCGGCACAAAATTGTACAGTTGTGCATGCAATTCACTAGAAAACTTTGATACCTGATATTAGTGCTGTGTATTTACTGCAGTCACATCTGCCTATAGTCTGTGGCTTATTTTTATATTGATATAATGATGCCCATTATATATATTCATGGTAAGATTGAAGACAGTAAAGTGAAATCTGTGTATAAACCTAGCAACATTTCTGGTCAAAATAAGTTACATTTGTACCTTCTTTCCATAGTGGATTGTGCTTTTTTATTTGAGAAAATAAATAATGTGACATTTTCTCAATTTAGGAAAATATGTGTATTGTCAATTTGTCATAGAATAAAAAAAATCATAATGTCTTTTGATCTGTCCATAAATTTTAAACCAAAAGTCAAAAAACAATTTGTTTGTGATGAAATACCCTAGGTAGATGCATTAATGACAATTTTTGTTTTTTTTGGCAATTTTTCACCATTTATAATAACTGGTCCAGACCCAGTGATTATATTGAAAATCTTCCTTTTTTTGATAAATCTGTATTACATAATAACTATGAACGTCTTCTTTTTCTTTCCCAACTATTTAACTATTTAATCTAGGACGATAATTTTGGAAATAATTTCATCAATCAGGAATATAATGGCCTCACCTTGATACAAGCATTGCTGCAGACATGCCATGTGCGTTCTGCCACAGGGTAATACACCTTGAACTTCAATGTATTCACTTCATTTACAGTACCTAACTCTCCCATAATCTGTAATACAAATCAGCATTCAGTGAAGAAACGTCTAAACTTTTTTTATGTAGAAACAATGACTTTTATATTATGATACAAGCATTGCAAGGGGTAGTCGGGTGGTGCAGTACTGGATAACCTTTCACCAAGGTGGCTGGGGTTTGATTCCTCGATTGGAAGTGAAAAGTTATGAGATCGCCTGTTCGATCACGTGGATTTTCTGCGGGTACTCTGGTTTCCTTCCACAGTAAGATCCCCCGCGCGCTAACATTCGGGCCGACAAGAGTAAATAATATAAGCTGTAAAAACTTCAAAAATAATTGTTGTAAAATAAATAAAGTTTATATTAAAGCCTACAAAAGCCCTCTCCTGAGAAGTAGAAATAGACAGCCTTATATAAAATCATAGAAGTATTAACATGAAATTATATTAGAAACTATTGAATCGCCAATTGTTTTAAGTAATATGAAGCGGTTGCTACAAAAACAACATATCGGTCAAACATAAACTGGAGACCAGCCCAGACAAATTGTCCATAAACTCGCACCATTCTGAGCTGTCAAATGTTTCTTGTCGCTGGAGTCAGAGCCATATACTCAGACCACATCATCTCTGGCCCTGTATCAGTCCAGACTTACATACTATACTTATTTTCTTCTTATACACAAATCTGACTAATGTGAATATCGTTGTCATACAATAAAACCTCCTTTAGATTTAATAACTTTAATTATTATTTTTTGATATTATTCTCGACAAGTGATCGGCCAGGAGTGCATCATGTGTCCACCGATAAAAACTGATACTGACTTGGAGTGCATGATTTTTGTTGAAGGACTGGGTGTTTCTAAAAATAGAATTATGACGTGTCTCCGAACAATGCACCGTCCCACTTCTGAAGCTTTTTTGTTGTGTTTTTTTTCAGATTGCTTACATTACTGTTTTGTAAAATAATAAAACAATTGTAGCCTTTAACTTCGGTCAATATCTGGATTTATCGACCCGAGAAAAGATATATTGATCTCGGACTGCGTCCTCGGTTAATATATCTTTTCTCGGGTCAATAAATCCAGGTATCGACCTCAGCCAAAGGCTATAATTGAATAATATTAACATATGCTCTGCATCCTTCAGTTGCAATGCATTGAGAAGGTGAGACTATAACAACATTTGCTATTGTAACGCCATCAATTTCTATTGTGACGTCATCAATTTCATTGTTGTCAAGACTTAATTTGCTGTTCAAAGAACTGTTGGAAATAACTAAATAAAGTGTAACTACTCTATCAAAATGTAAATATAAATAATGAATATTTAAGCAAATATTGTTACGGTCCTATAACACACTTTTTTTATTGCTGACAAACTTACATGAAGCCCTGCCGGCTTTTCAAGTTTGTCATCAATATATAGCAATGTGTGTTACAGGACCATAACAACAATTTGCTAAAACATTTATTGCTTAATTGATTGCCTACTTATTCCATGGTGTCAATCTATCTTCCACTTTCCATAAACTTCATCCAGATCTAAGTTCAGAAATGCGGGCCTACCTTTTCCATGGTTTCGTTCCATCCTCCATATTCCTTCTGTAGACATTTAAATGTGTCAATATTTAGGTCGATCATCACAGTGTCACCTACGTTGATCCAGGTATCTGGGATCTTGTTGAAATCTAAAATTCGTGAGATATAATCACTTCGTTACCACATAAAAATGACAAGAGGCCCATAGGGTCTGTAAAGTTCTCCTAGAAACTTTTATTAGGATTTGTATTTGGTCAAGATAATATTTGAATACTGACTAATCCGAGTATGCCACAAACCAAATACTATATAACGCCAGACTTAAGGTTCATAGGAAGAAGTTGTTTGAATTTTTTAATCAAATTCATTTTTGTGGCCTTAAATAAAAGGAAATTTGTCATTTATTTGAACAATGCTGATAGTCCTTTACTTCAGCAAGCTAAAGGCCATTTATCATTAATATACATGAATGTCAAGTCATTTATTTGAAGAAACTTGATAGCTCTTTACATCAGAAAATTTCAGGACAAATAGCATTGATCTAGGTATTGCAGTTATTGATGGATGTTTCAACACTTCCTACTATGTAACCTTGACATTGGATCAAGGTCATTTATCTTAACAAAATCATTGCCTCCAAAACAGCAAGCTAAATGCCAAATACCATGAACCTATCTCATATGGTTCTCTAGAAGAAATCACTGTAAGAAAAAAGTTGGTGACAAACGACAGATGCTCATACGGACAGTAGGAAAGACAAAATGGAGGATGGACACTGCCACAGTATAAACTTCTAATAACTTCATGCCAGGTATTGAACTATTAAAGTAATTGTCAAAATCTGACATGATGATAATCATACCTCTACCATCCAATGAATGATGCTAAAGTAATGAGGGGCTATTTCAAACCCCCTACATCCATGGAGTATTTGTGTATGGTGTCAGTTAATGAGGGGGAAATTAAATTCATACTCCAATGTTCATAGAGCACCAGTGTATAATGTCAAAGTAGAAAGGGACCAATTCATACTCAAACATCCATGGAGCACTTGTGTATGATGTCAGTGTAAAGAGGGGCAAATCATACTCCAACATCCATACAGCACCAATATATGATGCCTGTTAAAGAGGGGCAAATTTATAAGTTGAACATCTATAGAGCACCAGTGTATGATGTCAGTGTATGTAGGGACCAATTCATAATCCAAAACCCATGGAGCACCAATGTATGATGTCAGTGTTAAGAGGGACCAAATCATACTCAAACATCCATGGACACCAGTGTATGATGTCAAGGATAACAAGGTTACCGCGATCGGTATATAATACGCCCGTCACACATTGAATGAGCAGTTGTTTGTATGATTGAAATATATGAAGTATTTGTGAGTAATTGATATTAAAAGAGAAATCATTCAACATAACTGGTAGATCAATGAGTGCAATACAACATCATGGAACGCATGCATCCCATTAATGAAACCAAGGGGAATAA